TCATACATTTAAGAATAAAAACAATTATAGGTTGAAATGCAAGCAAATAATAGAGAAGAGATCCTTGTAACATATACCAAGGACAAAATATGATATTTCTTATAGGTTGGCAATGGTTGCCATGGTTTTAATACCACGAAGGGATTTTAAATTTACTCTCTTAGTGTTTTAATCTTATCCTATCTTTTTAAAAAGCATATTTATATATAACGGTTGATCAATTTTTAAAGGCCTTGGTGTGACCCTAATTTTCACATTTCAAAAAATTCAATTTCAATTCTTTAAATAGTGCGTTGCTATGGAAATAAGGCGAAAAAACATGCATAAATATCTGAAAAACACTCTGTTTCCTTGGATACGTACCGTTGTATGTAGATTCCCAAAACTTTTATGATTGATATATGTGAACAACTAACCTGACTTTCAATTTTGACTATCACCCAATTTCTAATTGGATGCAAAAAGCTGGCACATAGGGTCTAATATTGACAAAAACTTAACAAAATCGAACATTTTTTCTTCTTGGTAACCATAGCAACAGTGTTGTATTTTTCAACAACCTTTATCAATATATGATATTCAACATTAGTTCTACGAGATAAGTACTATTCAAGGTGATTCAAATAATATTTTTCTTGATTAAAAGGTTAGTAAATTCCTAAAGCAGCAAAAAAATATCACTTTAAACAACTAGTACGTTGTTTCCATGGTTACGCTGCAAAGTAACAATTAATCTCATTTTTTCTTATATTGTCGGTGTTGCAAGGTCCTAAGGATGCATATGTGCCAGTCATGAATTTTATTGCTTTTCCTCACGATAGTAGCATTAACCCAATCATAGCAACAGATTTTGCATGGTGACACTGTGTTACCATGGCAACCACAAAAGTTATTTTTAGCATAATATTGCCAATACCTAATTACATGAGATCAAATATGTTTCATTGTTTTTCTTACGTTGTTGATTGAGTTTGATCATGTAACATCTATCATTTGTGACTATAGAGCGTTTTTCAGCTTTTTTCAGCATCTAAAATGTATTCCAAATGTACCCATGGTTACCACTTACTTAGAGACAAATTCTAAATAGTTTCTTTATAGCATAAGTGGCAACAAGGTGTCATGTTTTTGGGAGAATGGTTTGTTTGTTTTTCTTAGTCTTTATTAAGGCTTAATAAAGATTTAAAGTAGCTGAAAATCTCAATTTTTGCAACTTTTCTGGCTGTTACCATGGCAACTAAGATACATACCAACGAAATTTTATTTGATATATGTTTCTGGTGTCAAGTTGTAATAATGGGCAAAGTTTCATCAAAATCGGTGACCATGCGTGGCAAAGAAGTTTAAGTGGTTACAGAGAATCGCTATTAAAACTTTTTTAAAAAATTATTTTTATATAACATGGTAATAAAAAAAAAAAAAATTGCCAAAATTGTTTATACAACTGGGCCCGGTTTTTCAAAAGGTGGTTAACTCTAACCTGGTGTTAACCTGTTGTTAACTTGTGCGTTAAATTTGACCACATGGTTAAGTGTTTTTCAAAAGTTTGTTAGCGTTTAACCATGTGTTAACAATGCGTTAACTTTAATCCACCCTTAGTACCTGTGTTAAAATTTAACACAGTGGTTAAAATACTAACAGAGTGATTCAAAATGGCCGTTAGACTGGCACTTCAGCCACCTCAGAGGAAAAAAAGATGCTTTAGAGCTGCTGCTGACCCCTTGCAAGGCTGGTCAGATGAGGAGTTGCATAAACGGTACCGTTTTAGCCGACGGGGGATTGCATTTATAGTAGAGTTGTTGTCGGAAGACTTGGAAAGGGCCACAAAACGCAGCCATGCCCTGTCTGTGGAGCAACAGATTCTAATGGCCCTACGCTTTTATGCTAGTGGCAGTTTTCTGCAAGTTATTGGTGACACAATAGGCAAGTATATTAAATAATTCTAAAATTATGATAAATGAACATAAAACTTGCAATCTTTTTGTGGTTTTCATCTTCGTTCGTCAAGTATATCTAAGTTGTCTACTTTCCTGTAAATCGGGCACTAACACTGACTAGCTAAGGAAAATTTAATGTTGCGGTGACTTTATCAACGCTTCCACTTTCTTATCTTTAACATACTCTGTAGGATTTGAGAAGAGTACAGTATCTAAGACTGTTAAAGATGTCACCAATGCAATTGCTGACAAGGCAGGGCAATTTATCAAATGGCCGGTTACTCAGAGTGCAAGGGCGACGATAAAGACTGCATTTTACCAACAAGCCAGATTTCCCAATGTCATCGGTTGTATAGACGGCACACATGTCAGAATTGTAGCACCCTCCAATGATGAGAACGCCTATGTCAACAGGAAAGGGTATCATAGTCTCAACATCCAAGCTGTCTGCGATCACGAAGGTAAATAATAACGAGAGGCCTTGACCTTGTACTCCTTGCATCATTTAAAATATTAAACGTTTTCAGTGTTCTAAGACATAATTCTTAATTTTTGTGACAGATATTCTTACTTTCATGAGTAAAACCTATAAAAAAAAATAAAATAAAATTGATTGATAAATATTTTGATCACTATTTGTGACATTTTTATCAATGATATTATGATGAGAAAGATTTATGTCCCTTCGTGAAAATGAAGGGGTGGATCTAATAGAAAATTTTACGTCTAGGTGCTTTAACAGCTGTTTAAAAGACAAGTTAAGTTCAAGTTACAACTTCATAAACACTAAACAACAGAATAACTTTACTCCAAGTTTTATAGTACATGCACCTTTTCAATTAAGTGATATAGTTAGTGTGTAATATTATATTTCTATTTATTTTCATGTAAAATATATATATATTTTTTTTTACATAAAAGGAATTTAATACAAAAAAATGTTACTATATTTCATGTAATTTAGTTTTAAATTTTAAATGAACTGAAAAAAAAGAAAGTGCTAAAGTGATAGAGCAATGTGTATAATTACAGATGAATCCATTTAACAATTGGTAAAAAAGAAATTTACAATTGTATCTGTATCTTACATCTCAAATTATATTATCAAAAAAGATTATTATAGTTCACGTATGTAATGAATTAAAAGTGGAAGTCCTGATTTAAATGATTTTATGAAAAAAATGTAATGATTACCCTGCTCAAACCTGATTTTTTTTTTTTTTTTTTTTTTTTTTTTTTTTTTTTTTTTTTTTTTGTACAATATTCTATGCATTCATTTATAGTGAATGCATATGTATGTTTTTTAAATTAAAGAAAACATCATATTTGTTACAGGAAGATTTACCAATGTGAATGCTTCATGGCCTGGATCCGTGCATGATGCTCACATCTTTAGAACATCCCAGGTAAATAAGAATAGTAAACAAAGATGATTGAAGCATATTTTAATTTGTCATATGCATTTATTTTTGATGATCAACTGCTGTTATACAGGGTTTGCAAGTTTTCTAAGTTTTACTTATTGAACTGTTTTAAGTGATGCTTGCATGTCACATGCATGCATGTATTTACTCTTAACATGCTTAATAAAATAAGATTAATGTGGTTAATAGAGAATTTAATGAACAGATTAAATTAGGTCAAGAGGGTTTTTTTTTTTTTAATTTTAATTCCATTGTGCATTAAATATTCATTACAATTGAATTAAAAAAAAACAAACAGATAAGGACTTACATGGAAGATGAAGATAAAGGAGGATTTGATCATGGTATTCTCCTTGGAGATAGTGGCTATGCCTGCCGCCCTTTTTTATTGACCCCTTACCTCAACCCCCAGAATGAGGCACAGGAGAGGTTCAACAGAGCCCATGGACGAACGCGCAGCCAAATTGAAAGAGCTTTTGGACGCCTCAAAAGAAAGTTTCATGTATTACACTCAGAGGTATACAATAATATTAATTTAATCTGCATGCTTAAAAAAGAATTCTTAGAGTTTTGAATTTATTTATCAAGTTTTATAACTTCCCTTCACCCCCCCCCCCCCCCCACACTTCTTTTTCTGAAAAAGAAGCAAATTCAGAGATTTGTGGTCCCCTTGCTATAAGATTCTAATTATTGGGCCAATTGGCAAATTGTTATTTTAAAAGTTATCCGTAAAGTATATTTTTTTTAAGAAGTAGGTAAAACTTCAAGTTCAACTGGTCATGAAGGTCACCAAAAATCAAAGTGTTTTTCATGGGCAATTCACATGTAAAATATTAAACCTTATCTTCTTTAGATTAATTTTCAGAACAGATCAGTTAAACATTACTTTCAATGAAAAAGAGACTCTCCATAATACATATTACATTTATTCATTGCATTATTTTCAGGTACGCATGAAACCACACAGAGTTTGTAAAATTGTAATTGCATGTGCAGTTTTGCACAACATCTCGCTTACTCTTGGTGAGCCAGAAGATGAGGAGGAGCCAGATCAAGAGGATATTCAGCCTCCCCAGCCTCCCTACCAAGGACAACAAGATGGAAGGGGTATTAGAGATTACGTTACACGACACTATTTCTCAAGAGCATAGACTGTTTAACAATTTACCTGCTCTTACAATGTAGGCATTGCTATGATAAAGAAAACATACATGTCATATAATGATATTTTATAATTTAATCAACAATTGTACAGTAAATAAAAGTATTAACAATGTATAATTCTCACAATACAGTGTAATAGACTTTTAACAGCTATAACTATTAAAACAATGAAATAGATCATCAACATTTCAAAAGTGCCCCATTGGTTAAATAACTCACCCTGAGGTCAAATCTTCACAAAGAAAAAGAAGTTTCATCACATCCTTAATGTACCCCCTTAGCAAGAGGTCCATAGGCCACAAAGGTTACATGTCACAAAATATGGATGCTTCATCATATACTAGTCAATTTATCATGTTACATAACTACTTGCAACACAATTTCTGTTCTTACATAAAATATATCAAAAAGTAGAGTATACAATCGGAGAGGTCTTGAAACAGGTAATGCACGTCAAATGTACATGTACTAAATGAAACAGGTAATGCACTTGTCAAATATAAATGCCCTATCATAAAAATTTATCACCAAAGTTAAAATTTTTGAAAATTAGGTCATAGACGTCAAGGTCAAAAATCATGGCATGCTTGGAAACATCTTGTCACAGGTAATGCACATGTTAAATATGAAAGCCCTATCTTTTCTCAATCAAAAGTAGTACTTAGCAAGGATAATTTTTTTTTAAAAGTAGGTCAAACTTCAAGATCAAGGTCACAGGTCATAAATCAAAGTAAATTTGGAAAGGTCTTGTCACAGGTAATAAACATGTGAAATATGAAAGCTCTATCTCTTTTCATTCAAAAGTTATGACCAAGGTTAAAGTTTTTGTGACAGACAGACCGACAGATATATGAGATTTAATGTCCCCTTAATTTCGTGAAGGGGGGGGGGGGCAATTAGAAAATTACTACAGGAAAGGGACAAAACTCTTTTCAATCAGTAACTTGTGATTAAAATATTTATGAATTAAATGTAATGATCCATGCATACTTAATCTTAATCTAAGGACTTTTTTTTTAATTATGTATTAATGTTATCTATAGAAATGCTTTTATTTCCAAAATAACAAAGAGTACAGGGTTTGACATTTACTTTTACGATGATGGGCCCATATATTTGCTTCATTGACTAGACCATATATACATGTCATAGTTTATGATAACAAAGAAAACATTGATGTAAGTGGCAGCTCCTCATCCTCTTTCTTTGCTTTCTTTATCAGAATTTGAAGCAATTCAATCTGCAGATTATTTTTTTCTAGTTCTTTTTCAAGGACAGCACACTGCAGAGTATATACATCCTCTGCACTTTTTTTCTGAGGCTTGGTCCTAAAATCACATACACATTTTTGTTAAAAATTCCTGACCATTATCATAAATAACTTTTGGTCTCATTTTCTTTTCAAATTGTGCATTTTTTCATTTTTAGTTCATATTTTATATAATTGATAAAATTAAAACATCATCTACAATACATGAAATATTACAGGAGTGTTCATTTAAATTCAAAGAGAGAGAGAGAGTCATTTGTTTGTGCAGCTCGACAGTGAATGGGCAGATTTTTTGCTAATCATGTTGACATAAATGTTTGTTGATAGAATTTTGATATTTACATGTATCTTAATTAATATTCCAGCTCGATCACTTCATATTGTTTTAAAAAAAATTCTTTGATATTTTGGATAAATATACTTAACTTAAAAAAGGGTTATTATCTAAAATTACACGTCAAATACATGAATGTTTGAAATGAAATTTTCAGTGTGATTGCATGTCAGATTTGCATATATTCAACAATTCATATTGTACATTAAATGAATTTATAAGAGAAAATGTGGAGTTGTTGCCCTTTAAAAAGATTTTTGTTCATAATAATTAATGATTATTAGTGATTAGTAATTAGTGATTAATTATATGTCTACTGTGATATTGTCTACATATATTTGCTCTGTTCTTTTTCTGTAATTAAATCCATTAATTAATATTTTTGTCCATTTATATAATGTTTAAACATGTACACATATGTTAATTGTTTCAAGACAATACTCAGTACCTTTAAAAATTCAAAAGAAATCAGTTGTAAACAAATAACAATTATGATAAATAAACATTAGTGGATAAATTTTGATTCTAACAGCTTACTTCTCTTTCTTTGACTTATTTGTGCTTCTATTATCTTCAAGAACAGTGTCACTCATCTCTGGCAGTGCTTTTTATAAAAAAAAAAAATCACAATGTAAAAATTACTATGAGTACATATATTCAGAAAGATAATGTACAAAAATATTCACCCCATGTTGATGACAGAATGCTATTAAACAATAATACTTATATTTGTTATATCACATACTTGCATTGCTGCTGCCAATGGCTGGGCTCCCTGATCTTGGTACTTGAGAGCACCTGGTGACAGATGATGCTAAGAAAATATTGCAATATAATTATGATGGTGTTAAAAGATAGCATATAGTCGAGACAAATGATAATCTGCTTAAAAAAAGTGAATGGCAAATTATTTCTGAAATTAGATTTTTTTTTTTTTTAAATTCTTTTCACATACCTGGATTACTGTTGGTACAGCTGCTGAAAACTGCAGGGACTTCTACTTCAATAACACATGGTGGATTCAATCCAGTTTTAGGAGATTGTAACTGACTCTCATTTGTCAGATCTATTTAAAATTTAAAAGAACGTTAAGTGGAATTTTCCATGTCTAGATAACATAAAACTTGATAATACAAAATTACATTGTATATATAACTATATTTTAAGTTATCATAAAAAAAGGTATTTAAGGACAGGTGTATGATACAAACTTTTCTCTTCATATAATTTGATAAAAGACTAGAATATGATTGGGAAAAAAGAAAAGAAAAGCATTAAAGAAATTAAATCAATTCGAAAATATTGGAGAAGGGGGGGGGGGGTACACAGAAGTGCTTTATATTAATGTTATACTTTTTTTTAAAAATATATACATATATATTATATGTAATCCATTTTTCCCTTCATTTATGTTTTTTTAACTTATCGGTTATCAACTTTTGGTCTGCCTTCTTGTTGTACATGTATATAGGTAAATGATTTTACGAACAAGTTATCTAAATGTGCGTTTAGTTCATACTTTAAGGGAATCCCCTTTATGGAACCCTCAAAACCACTCTTTTCCGTTTTACTAAAGAAAAAGCCCGCGAACAAGTTATGATATGCTTTAGTATAGTTTACGTATAACTAGACGAACGTTATATATTATAAATTTATTTTAGAAAGCTGACTGGACTAATATAATGTTAATGTTTATTTACTACTCTATTTGTCACAATCAAACGCTCCGTCATCATGGGGGAAACCCGGGAATCGCTTCTGACCATGCTGTTAAAAAAAAATAGCTTTTATAAATGAGGCGTGAAGGTAAAGTACAGCTTGTTGAATACGTTTTTACATTGAATACTGATCCTTATTTAAGTTTTTATTAGTTTACGATTCGGAAGGACATTATCTGCACTAAACATATGCGAAAACAGTTTCTTGTTTGAAAAGTACGATTGGAAGGGGTCAAGGCCGTTCTTAATATAGCCTTATGTAAACAAATTATCGTTGATGTGTGGCTGGATTTTTATCAAACAGACATTCTGTTTTTCAATAAATACTCTTAGGATTTTCAGCATAAGAAAAGACATTATCATAAAGAATGAACTTTCAAGTTACTATATTCAGCTCTCACGAACGTCCAACTGTTATTGTAAGCAGACGACATTTTTTATTTCACATAGAAATGACAATGTGGTAGAAATATTGAAAGAATAAAACTAGACGTGTGAATTAAAGTGATTTTTTGCATGGAAAATATTTATTGGACCTAATATTTAATCTCTGTTGAGAAACAGATTGTTTTTAAAAATATTGTGAGTTGCAAAGGTAGGGGTTTGAGATAGAACTGGGTAGGGGCCTAGTTTACAACTTGTTTTATTTCTAAACACATTTTATAATGTAATTCATAAAATATTACACCTGTTTTATCACAGATAGAAGTTTCAATTCCTCCAGGAATTCCTACAAAGGAACTGGAGTCCTTGTAAAGATCCACAATGTCTGAGACTGTCTGGGAGAGGGGGGTAGGTGGTGGGCCTCCTCCAGTCCTTTGTGACTCCCTGCGGTGTTCAGCAAACTTCTGTTTAGCATCCCGACACATATTTCTCCATTTGTCTTTCACCTCGGTAACAGTCCTGTGAGCTGTGCCCACGGCATTGACTTTTTCGGTTATGTTTTTCCACACCGCTTGCTTTTTCTGATTTGTAACCGTGTTAGAGTGTTTACTTTCCAATATAGGATTTTGTTTTACTTCATTATGAATGGTGCTAATCTCCATAATGCTGAAATTCTGGCTTCTAGCCCGCTTAGGTTTAGAGCAGAAGTCAGTGCTCTCCATGTTTACATAGGAAGTAGAAGTGCATTATGGGTAACCAAGTGATTACCAAGTGATTAACTCAGTTAACACAGTGTTAGTTAACCATTGCGTTAAATTGCTTTTGATCAACACAATTTAACCACTGCGTTAGCTAATCACTTGATTAGGATTTAACACATTGTTAACCTAACCACTGTGTTAAATTTAACCACCTTTTGAAAAACCGGGCCCTGATGTTTTACAGGTTTTGCAATTATATAAACGGATACTATGAAATAGCTAAACAGAGTCATGTGAGATGTGTACTTCATCCCCTTATTACACAACAAAATTTCTACTTTAATTAATTGCTATCGATAAAGTTTACTTTGTGGAAGTGCAAGGATATTGTCAATCAAACGCGTTCCGAGATTCGTAGTTTTAAAAATTTCAAGATAAAAGAAGTTTCTAAGCACGCTGTTAATGTATTTAGATGTGAAATGCTCTAGCAAAATATAAGTCGTGATATTATTAAGAAAATTTTTACAAAATATCAACTTCAAATCTGTGTCCCAGCCCCTTTCACACATGTTCAAATAATCATAAATTTTCACTAGATAAACAGTATTATATTTTTTTCATAATGATGCTATCCCCTCTCACTTTTAATAATATTTGTTAAATAGCAACATAAATTATTATTACTACTTTCTAGTTTCACAATTTTCAGGTGTTTTTAATTGTAATACGATTTTGAAAATATGTCCCCGACCTCTGTCCAGTTTACTGCATCTAGTATCAAAACTTGATTTATAGTTATTAAATGATTTAATTTATAGACATGTTTATTATAAGATCCGCTCTTAAAATTAAATTTCCAATTGTCTCAGAAAAAAGTGAAATAAGAACGAGAGAATATCATGCCGATTTTTAATTGTGTTCCTCAAGTTCTTCAAATAAATGAAAGTATGGTGTTTGGCAGACTGCTCTGTATATAAAAAAAGACAGATAAGAAGAAAAAATATATTTATGAATATGAAAAAGTGATAGCTGATCATAATGATTTGTTTTGTCTTGCCGTTTGAAAAAAATTAGGCCATAGACGGCAGTATTGAAAAAACAAAACAAAAACAACAGTGAGATGATTGAGTTTTGAAAATTTTGCGTAGGGTTTAGATTTGTCAAAGGATGAAAACTGTTTTGTATATTAGTAAGTACGTAGTGTATATGTATTTTCTTTACTCATTATTTCCATCTTAGGACAGTAAAAATCACGTGCTGCAAATCCTTTCAAAGCTTTTGTATTCTTTTAGTTTGATTATTAAGGATATGGCTGCATATTTATAATCACAGTAAGAAAAAGGTCATGTGAATTTTTCACCACGGTGCGCACCATACACAGGTAAATCGGGTATTTAAAAATAAGGTGAATGTCATCAAAGGACGCCATTAAAAGTATTGGAAACATCCACTGCTCGTCAGATGACGGATAACAAAAGTACTTCGTTCTAGAGAAGTAGAGATATATATTCATGAGGTAAATGAATGAAAAGAGATATAGGTTTTAAAATATTGAAAGTATAACTTTTAAAAGATAAACAAAAATCTAGTTTCATTTTGAATGGAACAATGGTTATATGTACCCTCAGAGCATTTTTAGTGATAATTATAACAAAGAAATAAAGAATAATTGACTCTTGTTAAAACAACGGGACGCTATCTTCTTAACATTTATATTGTATTATAGATAGATACATAGATTACACTTGAGAAAATTGTTAAAATAGCCACAAAAACAAGATTTGAAGTTAAAGTTTTCTCACATTTTCGGTATAATGTCATGACATATATTGATATAGCATTTCAGACCGATATATTATGAAAGCGTTTTTAGAAACTTATTTAGTCTGAAAAGTATGGAAACTTTGAACTTAGGGACGCGTTTGTTTTGAATCCTAACTTTGTACTTTAACGAAGTAAAACTTATCCTTAAAATTCAAGAATAGTGGACAACTCTGTTTATTTATGAAAAAATATTAAAACTATAATCCAGAGAATTTAAAGTAGAAATATGAAACAGCAAAACTAACACACCAGTGTTGTCAGTTCGTGTTTAATGATATACTCAGAGTTAACAAATCGAACACACCCGACAAAAAGTAAACATTAATCATAACTGAGCTCGTAACCATTTTTACAAACACAGTGTGTTTGAAGCATTGATATTAAGAAAGTAAATTGTTAAATAGAAATTTGAAATTTAAGCAAAAAAGCAATGCGACTGTGTCTAGGCCACTTTAATCACAAATAACCACTAATCTAACGAAGTGTTAATGGATAAAGGTCAAATTTACTCCACACACAAGTCTTTGTATTTTATGTTTCCAGACAAACTTTACCTGGTTATATAACTATATGTAAAGAGCTAAATATTAATATTATTTTTGAAGTCATATACATATATGTTAAGAAAAATGAAATTACAAAAAATGTTTCAAATGATTATTTTCTCATAACCAAAGAATCAATGGTTAATTTGGTTCTTTTCTAAGACTAGCTATACATTAAGAGAAAAGTGAATAAATTTGGAAAAGGCATACAAACATTGAAAGAACTCTGATCCATGGTCACGTGGTTATTCAGCAGGAAAAACTATTTCCTACAATGTTTCCTAGAAACTGGCCTGAGAAAGTAAATAAATAGATAAATAAATAAATTAAATCTCTGTATAAAATACTAGGAAAAGAATCAATCAATTTTCTTTCATTTTGATTCTCTAAAAGGTAGGGATGTCAAATCGGTCAATTTTTGATAATCGGTTACTTGGACGTTTTTCCGATCGAGTACGTGGGGACTCGGTAAAAAATGTAAATACAAGTGTGTTAATTTTCTTGAGCCCCGTTTAGCTCTGTTAAACCCCAAAGCTGTTTTTATCACGTTTATAAATGTATATCAACATCGATTCCAACGGAAATGATTTTTTGGTGCTAAATTTATTTATCAAACACAAAAGACACAATTAATATATACATAAAAAAATTACATATTACAGTTCTTGTTAAGGACCTATTTCATCAAAAGGAGGACAATCTGTTACGCATGTTTATGAGGATTAGACTAGCTAAAGAGAAGGAATGGCCGTTGTTGAGATCGCTAGTCTAATATCCGTATACACTAAACTTACTACACAAACTGACTTTCAACATTTTTCTTGAATTTTTAGTTATTTCTAAATATTTCTTCACTTTTGAAGTCTATGCATGTCCAATTGCACTGCCGTATATTAACTAAATAATTTTAAAATGATTTGAAGATAATAGACCATCGATGTTCACTGAAAACAATTATGGAAGCCATCCAAAAATTAAGTCCCACAATAGGTGAGAACAGCTGGGTGATTGGTCACTAATTACTGTATATACTCAGCCACAGGCGATAAAGGGTGTTTTACATGTGTAGATGACGACATGCAAATTACCGTATGCATACTTATCTTATTTTGATGAGTTTTTGATAAAAATATGTACTTTGAAATAAGAAGCTTTTTCTCGAGTATTTAAACTTCATCTATAGCCGCATTTTAAATCATAATATTTTTGATATGATTCGCATGCTGCATTTACCTGCATTCTGATGATAAGTGTTTTAGAGCATTTTTAAAATTATTATTATTGTACATAGGCTTTACTTGACGCGATAATTGGAATTGCTTACATTTTAGAAACGTTACACAAAAAGAGAACTATTTAAAGATGTACTTATATTCCTTACGGTAATATTTTCTTATGAAGCACATTTCATTGGAGCCCTGAATTCTGTTCATTTGTTAATTGAGTACGACATTGAAGCAGTTCTCTCTCTCTCTCTCTCTCTCTCTCTCTCTCTCTCTCTGCCTCTATCCATCTCTTAACCCTTTAGCTACTAGAAATTTTGCATTTTTTTCTGCAAAACTGCCTAAAAATTTCAAATTGAAATTTTAACATTTTCTAGTCACTTTTACATGAAGGAACCCATACATTTTCTGAAAGGTAAAATCTTAAAGTATTTAATTATGCAGAGTAAAATGACGTCGTGGTTGCCATGGCAACGAATGAGACCCATAATTGCCAAAATATGTGCCCCCCTCCCTTTTACATCACAGAAATAGAAACAAATTTACAAATAATGTTTCCATAACAGAGGATTTAGTGATACTACCGGTATTAAAACAAAGCATGCAAACAATTAGTTTTTAGTTATACATGTATTGGTCAATTTTATTTGATGGAAAGAGTTTATACAATTTCACAATGTCCGTGTATTAGACTTTGGCTTCATACAGCTGTCTGATTGTCGTAATTATAAGCAATTTACAAATCGCTTTCCCTCGTACAGTTTTTACATGACTTCAATAAAATATGGTACACTTTTAGAGTGTACTAAGATACACAATTCTTTATTTTAGCTTTTTTTTTTATTTCAATGAACAGTGTTACCATGGTTACAAAATAGCAATTTTGAGAACGGGACTTCCTAACAAAACACGGGTTTACTATATTCAGCAATTTTTCAAATCACTTTCCCTCCTACAGTTTTTGCCTGACTTCAATAAAATTTGGTACACATGTAAAAAACACTAAGATACAAAATTCAATATTTTAGTATTTTTATTTCAATGAACAGTGTTGCCAGGGTTACAAAAATAGCAATTTTGAGAAGAAAACTTTCTAACAAAACATGGGTATACTATATTCAACGCCATCATACACATTAAAATTACAAATATTAACGTTACAAAAATTGACATACATTAAACGTTGGTCGAAGGGAGAGGAGGAGGGATATTGCTGAACATTGTATCTAATTCGTTTGTTAAATGTTGATTTGATGTCCGCGGAATCATGCGAGAAAATATCTCGCCTTAAATACCCGATTTTTTTTTCTTTTTGGAAAACCCATGTGTTTTAGAAGAAACGATATTAAAGCCCAGTCGTTTTTGACACCAAATGGACCCCCATTTACTTTAAGTAGAGTTTTATCACTTAATAAAATCACTTGCCTAG